ACCCCTGATAGCGATGGCCCCATGATCTTCCAGGGCGTTGACGTCTCCAAGGGCGGCATCCACCTTTGGATCAACCGCAAGGATAGTGCTATGGAGGAGATGAACGGCATGATCGAGGAGTACACGGCTGAGCAGACGAAGTTGGGCCTCCCCGTTACTGCCGACAAGAACTGGGTCATCGTCAAGCCGGATGATATTCTGTGAATCGGAGTTTCTGATTAGGATACGCCTATGCTGAACCGTGGGCACAAACAATAGTGAATAGCAAAATAGAACTAAGAGTAATGTCTATGATGTACATTTGACCTCTACGTATAGTCGTACTGGTATTAAACTCAGGCTTGCAGGTGGTGCATAGTACACACGCATCTTCACAACGTCCATCTCCGCCGCTTCACAGCCATCTACACGTCCGTCCACATTTCTAATCAATATAAAAAAGCAACTCGCAAGGCCACGAGACAAAAGACTGGACGAACAGGGAATCGAACCCTGGACCACTCACATGCTAAGCGAGTATTATACCACTAAACCATTCGCCCAATATGATTTCGCCCGGACTTGAACCGGAGACCTTCAGTGTGTTAGACTGACGTGATAACCAACTACACCACGAAACCATTTGAGTTGTTGAAGGTTCCGAAGGAAAGAGACGCTAAGATTTGACGGCGGGTCGATGGGGTTGTGGGAATGGCTAAACCCTGGTGGGGGTTGAGTCTTGACTGGGGATGTCGATGGGCCCGCATCAAGAATTGAATTGCAGATAGGTGAGTGGAACTCCACTATCTCATGAGAGCGTCGCTAGAAAGAACCTACTATTTCAAAAGTCAGGGATAGAAAGTATTAAAAGAAAAGTCATAGTGAACGGGATTGCAAAGCTCTACATGTTAACTCATGAAGTTTGGTCGGAAGAATTATATAACGTGCTAGCATTGTCAAGGAGTTTTCTTGCATTAGGTGTGTCACACTGACCAGATATAATGAGTTTGTAGCTGTCAGTATGTGAAACTCAGCCTCATCAGAACTAAACTCATTTGCAACAAGCAGTGGCTAACGTGCTTCAACTTGAAAGTGGTCATCCATAGAAGCGAGTGTATATAGGAGCTTCGCGGAGATAGTCGCGGACTGGACTTTGATCTTAAGAAGTCTTTTTATTTTCTTTTTAAAAAGTTTTCAGATACAGGTTTCGAGGGCAGCCCAAGTTCACCAAATCACGGAAGCCTTCGTTATTACTGAAAACGGCCGACACAACGCACCGGATCATCTCAAGCAACTGGAGGAATGTCAGTATTAGAATACTGAATGGAGTACCCTGAGCTTGAAATATCTTTTGAGTACACAAAATCACCACACACGCACAGCGTGAACGACTTTAGTAATTTCCGCCCAACCAAGCGGTCGCTCAGTTGAAGAACCTCAACAGGTCTTAGCTAACCATGCAACATCATCCCGTAGATCCATTTTTAGGGGTTCACTCGGTTGCTTGGTCCCACTTATAAAGTCTAGATTCCTTCAATGGAGCCTCAAACGAGTTAGCCTGCATACCACATAGCCGACGTCAAGCTGAGGCCCGTTCTGGTGGGCAGTTTACTATGTCCAGGGGCCTTCTCCATTCTACCTTTAGGCTATCAGCAACTATGTGGCTAGCATTCTTTAAGTGATCTCTAGAATCCCATGGCAATGAATTACTAATTCTAAGCCGACATAGGCGCTTTGTTCAAGTATTTGCAAAATCGCAGTGCCCAACATGTGCTTAGCGCGATGAATGACGTCGCCGACCCAAGCCCCGGCGTCACCATCCGACAAATGGAATTAAAAGGTGACGAAATTCGACCTCATCACCCGAAGAAGAATTAAGCAGACAATTTCTTCAAGGGACCTCCCACCACAGGCAAAGGCCGCTACAGACATTTTATACCCCAGCAAAAACGCATCACTTCTTCAATATCTCTATTGTGAACCATTCGCCGCAACAAATATGGCACCAACGAAAGACAGTCTCGGTTTCCAATGCGCCGTCATTACCGGCGGCGCTGGCGGTATTGGAAAGGTCATGGCCCAACACTTCATCTCAAAGGGCAAGAAAATTCTCCTCGCTGGCCGCACCGAGTCAAAACTTCAGGAGACGACAAAGGAGATTGGGGCTGCAGGCTACTATGTTCTTGACACCGGCGACGTCGACTCCATCCCGAGCTTTGTCAAGAAGATCACCACCGATCATCCGGAACTGGACTGCCTCGTCAACAACGCAGGAGTCCAGAGACCTCTTGAGGTACTCAAAGACGATGACTTCCTTTCAAAAGCCGATCAAGAAATCAACATTAACATCCGCGGTCCGATGCACCTGGCTTTGGGCCTACTGCCACACATGCAGAAGAAGGAATCGGCTCTGATCATCAATGTGTCGAGTGTCCTGGGCTTCATTCCATTCTCAATCATCAACCCAGTCTACAATGGCACGAAAGCTTGGCTACACTTTTGGAGCATGAACCTCCGCACTCAGCTCAAGAATGGTGGTTCCAAAGTCAGGGTGGTGGAAATTGCACCGCCGACGGTAGCTACTGATCTGCATCGGGAACGATCGGATCCAAATGACAACAAGAAGGAGAACAACCCTAATGCTCTGAGTGTGGATGAGTTCATGGAGGAGGTTGCAAAGAAGTTGGAAAACGGTGATGAGACCATCGGCCCTGGCATGGCTGGTGAAGTAATTGACCGCTGGTATGGTGCATTTGGCGAGCAGTATGCTAAGGCCGCGGCCGGCAAGTAGTAGAGCCAACACCAGGCTCTCTTTTACAAATAAAGAAGAATCCTCAGGATCAACCTCAATGCTGCCCATTATGATTTCCTGCCTACTCCCTCGTGCAGTGTCTTGTATGAGAACTCCCGAGTCTGAAGTTTTTCACATCTTTCCCAACGTTTTCAAACTATCAGTCTTGGAGCCGTAGTGATCGTAACAGCCGATGACTCCATCTCTAACCCAGATGCCGTAGGCTAGACAGTCGCTTCAGGTTAGCTAACTGGCCATGCGTACTTTCGGAAATACTCACAGATATCTAGCCATGACCAGTTATTGCCTCTCCAGAACCAATTCTTTCGCGGGCAGTTCGAGCAGTACAAGTACAAAGTGCTGCCTTTTTCTTTTGGGTCTTGCTCTAGTCTACAGCCCTTGCATTTGTGGCCTCCGCTAGGGAAGAAGAGCATTAGCTATGTTCAGACCTGAGAAAGTAGCATGAGATTCATATGACAAGTAGTGTGGCCTTCTAGGGTCTCCGCGAGAAAAGCCGAAAAAGAGTGCTTGAGGCAAGAAAAGGGGAACTCAACGCATCGGCCCATTTGAGGAACCCATCAAAGTTGCCGATACACCATCGAAGATCAATCCATGTGAGGACTTCGTTACCGGCGTCATTCTTGCAACGGGCAGTCAAGACAATGGGTGTCTCATAGTCCGGTCCGCCAATATCGTATGTGATGTCTTTGCACAGATTCTGGATGCAATCAGACTCGACCGGGCACGTCCTGGCTATGGTCGTAGACGCAAAGCTCGATAGAATGACGACAATAGCGAGGCTTACAAAACCCATGATTGCGACGGGCAAACGGGCTATGTACCTGTTAAGGCGAAGCTCTGACCTCCAAGCGTGCGAAAAGATTCTGTAGAGGCTCAGATCGGCCGAGCGATTAGTGGACGCGGCGCAATGTATTTAATCAAGTAGGTTGTTTTTGTGTCGCAGCGAATCATTATTGATTATTGAACGGATTCAGATTCAAACTCGAGCACTATAGCACCGTTTTTGAGGCATCGCCGACAGTTCATCTTTACCTGAGAGAAAGAGACCCAAGATGTCTAAGACACCTTTTCCGGAGATTTCTATCGACCTTTGACAGGAGGGCACAGGGAAAAACCGCATGGCGCTCTTGGGCGAGATGCTAGACCCTGTTGCCCCTTTACGCCACCTTTGTGAAGTTCGAAACCATGATGGTAGCTGAGTTTACCCCTGCTCAGCTTTGATCTTTGAAGGCGATGAGGGCTTCGGGTAAGGCAAGTGGGAATATCGTTGCAGCACAATGCAACTGCTTTCAGAAAGTAAATCAAAATATTGAATGTCAGCTTCAGCTGCCATGTGTTGCCTCAGCTTGCACCATGTGGCAGGGATTCAAATTGTGCAACATCCACCACGTGAGACAATCCTTGATTGCCTGCAAACCTTTGACGGTTTGCAACTCACTGCTCGACAAAGTACTCCTGCATCACCTGTTTGATCATTAGCAGCTTAATCATGCAGCCGATTTCATTTGGGTCGTATCTCAAATGATTCAGCGGGCCTATTGTGGATCTGTGGAACCACTGGTAGGATTTGAGTTGACACAAATTTTCTTCCATCAGACCCATGGCCGTGACTCATTTCCATGGCTTCTTGAGAGACTCATGCTCCAGCACCGCTCATCCAATAAGTCCCACAAGCACGGTAGCTCAGGGGTAGAGCGCTGGGCTCATAACCCAGAGGTCCCTGGATCGAAACCAGGTCGTGCTAGCTTTCATTTTTGCACTTTTCCTTTCGCTTAGGCTATCCACAGCAAGTTGGTGTTATGTTTCTTCGTATTCTACTCGTTGATTCAAGCGCATCATCTTTACTTAAAGTACCTATATATCTTCCTTGACATCTTCGAGTCTTACAAAATGCTCCTCGTCAGTTGCAGACAGGATGAATCAAGTTGACATCAGAGTCTTCGCTCAAAGTATCTTTGGTCCTCTGGTCTCTTATCAAAGAGTCGCCATCTACTCCTCTCGTTCCTGACTCAAGGAGGACGATAATTGACGGGATTGGCTACTTACCCATGCAAGAAAATGACCCCACCGAATCCTTCCAATACCTGTCTTGACGTCTCATTCATCAACGCGCTTCCCTCAAACCCCGCTCGTTGCATGCTCCGTTCGATAGTCCTAATCTCTTGCTTTCTTTGCCGCGCGCCCAACAGACGATAACTCGCAACCGAAGATGAACAAGCGATGTATTTACTGCGAGAAGCTATCAATCGAAGCACTGGTCGAGCTCGCCAAAATCAGCTTTGAAGCCCAGAGATTTTCACAAGATGCCTATTACCAGCACCACGACTCGTTCAGCGCTCTCGAGCAGTCAGCTTACAATGGCTGCGATCTCTGTCAAGTCATACTCCAATGCTTCCAGCAGACACCTTGTGAGGCAGAGCAACCTCTGGAGTGGCCACAAGAGTGGAATGAGATGACCAATGCATCCTTGGACGGATTTCCCCACACGATGTACTCTGTTGCGAAAGGACTCGACATCTCGGACGTAAAGCTTTGCATCAACACATCGCATCTGTACGATTCCCAAGGGTTGAGGGATGTACGGGTCTTTGATGAAATAGTTGTCCAAGTTGGAACCTTACACATCGAGACAGATGAGAACTATGGCGTATGGTCATTTCCCTCGCTTGTATTGAGACTGAGTACTCCTAAAGGTTGGTTGGAAGCAATCAGATCCATCAGAGGGTCATGATCCTGAGCTCACATCTCTATTCCAGACCAGGCGGTGTATGTGGAAACGTTCCGTATTGGGAGGTTCGAAGTTGACCCGGATCTCGGGTCCTTGACAAATCACCAACTGGCCAAGGAATGGCTTACAGAGTGCTGCCACCATCATGAATCATGTCTCTCGCATCAGATGCATGAGCTTCCCAGCAGAGTCATCGATGTCGGTAGCTCACCCAACGAACGCTCTGTCCGTCTGTTTCTCTCCCATGGTCTGGAAGCAGACTACGTTGCCCTGAGCCACTGTTGGGGTGGAGCCATATCGCCTCTTTTGACGACCGAATCAACTGCCATCTTCCAACAGAATATCGACATTGAAGTATTACCGGCTAACTTTCGTGACGCTATTACAATTACACGTCATCTTGGTATTCGCTATCTATGGATAGATTCTCTATGCATACAGCAGGACTCGAAGTCGGACTGGGAGATCGAGTCCAAGAGAATGGGGCTGGTATATCGAAACTCGACGGTGACGATCTCAGCGATGGTTTCCGGGCATAGCAAGTCAGGAATCCTGAAAACCAGCCAGTCGGCACAGAGCTTCGGTGCCTCCACCACTTTGGACGTCGTCGTAGGCAATGACGACACATTTAAGGTCACCGTGAGACGGAAGAATCTGCAGGAAGAGAACCTCATATCTTTGGATAGGCGCAGTGCGCTGGCAGAGCGTGGGTGGACCCTTCAGGAGTACATTCTGTCTCCTAGGCATCTCTTATACGGGCAAGAGATGATTTACTGGAGATGTCCTCAAGGCTTCAAGTCTTCCGACGGCTTACCGCCAGGCAACAACTCACCACACACAATTTACGAGGATGCTGCACAAGTCATTTTCTCCGACATTCTACGGCATGTTGAAGCAGTACCGCCTGACATCGATGCCATTTTTCGAGACTATTCCGAGCTTGTCAACGCGTATTCGCAACGAAAACTGACATACGGCTCGGATAAGCTACCCGCGTTTTCCGGTCTGGCCCAGCGACTTCATCCGGCTATAGGAGGTGAATACTTGGCTGGGATCTGGTCAGCCAATTTCAGGCAAGGCTTGCTCTGGACAGCAGAGATGAAATTTTGTCAGCACGTCAACGAGCCTTATCGAGCACCATCATGGTCATGGGCTGTGACTGATGACCTGGTCCTTTTTGAGGGTCCACAAGTGGTTGAGGAGGGTGGTGCTGAAATTGACGCCATCAAGCGCCAAACTTCTGGAGTACAGCATTAACCCCAGGGTCCCTGACAACCCATACGGCGAGATCCTTTCAGCAAAGCTGGTGGTGGAAGCCTTGACAAAACCATTAGTGCGGAGCCGCCAAGTGGTCGAGACAATTCTAGACCCGAACTCGATTGGAACTGCCAAATTTGACGAGCCCGCTGGTCCTGAAGACTCAGTTCCAATGGGCTGGGCAAGCCTTTTCCGCATGAAAACAGAGGGTGGAGACTATATCCTCAGCATCATCACTCGTCCAGGCGATGATGCTGATTGGGAAGTCGACTTTCATTACTTTCGGGAGGACGAATATCTTTTGATGCTTGTTTATACCGAAGACGATGTAGCAGGTGATGATGAGACTGAGTGGTCGCAATCGCCTGCGTTCTGCCTGATACTGCGACAAACGAGCGACGAGTCTCAGGAAACATACGAGAGAGTTGGGTTCGCAAAGTTGCAGGAGCTTAGGCTAAGATGGCTCAAGACTTGGGAACGATGCGTTCTGACGCTTGTGTAGGAACACAGTCACCAGCGAGATGTTTGTGTTTCTTACAATGCAACTTTGAAAACGCAGCCCGCGGACATGTGAAGATGAAGTCGGCCCACCCCCGGAATCTGCGCATGAGTCGTAACCGCACGAAAACGTCGGTGTCATCCGTGACCCTGGTCATCGCAGGCCTGTCGAATCCCGCCTGTGTTTCCTATTTCTCTCATTCTCCTCATAGCAACCCCAACAATATTGCGACTCCGATGCGGGGAAATCGTTTGCCAAGTTTAAAATCCGACGTGGTTTCTGCTCCGGTTCGTGTGGAGAAAAACATGGCCAGATCGCGGGGTCGCATCACACATTTTATAAGCGCCCGACTCGGAATCGCTCGCTCTTCTTAAATGCAACCTTGCCCCGGTGTGCGCATTCGGCTGATTCCCCCGCATTGTTTACCCAGGCGCATCCGCCCGTTCGTCTTGTGACGCGCATTCTCGGCGCGGAGCTCGGTGGATAGCCTACATCGGAACGATATTTCAATGGTGCGCGTAACAGTTGCGATGACCTCACTAATGCTCGAGTCGAGCTATCCATGCCGGGGAACACGGGGCCGTGCGGGGAGGATGGTAGCATTTCGCTCTTGGCATCAAGCTACAAGATGAACACGAGTCGTTCGATAAATTATGCTTAAATACTGGTTCGCAAGGTGCGTTGATTGAGACTCTCTATCGTCCCGGCTCAACCACGTCCATACATTGCAGCTCCAGTGCAGCCATGGCCTCCGTTGCGTTCGCTCTTCTCACGGCGCTTGCCAGTCGGGCTTCGGCCAAGACCGTCAAGACGCCGACGCCTCAGATGGGTTGGAATAGTTACAACTACTACAACTGCTACCCGAACGAGACGATCATCAAGGAGAACGCTCACGCCGTCGTGGACACCGGTCTCGCGGAGGCCGGGTACTCGACTGTCACGACGGATTGTGGGTGGCCGGCCAAGGACCGTGACGCCAACGGAGAGCTCGTGTGGAACCCGGCCCTCTTCCCGTCCGGAGGCGCTAAGGAACTCGGCGACTACCTCCACAACCTCGGCCTCAAGTTCGGCGTCTACTCCGGCGGAGGATACTTCCAATGCGGATCCACTGATCAGCCTGCCTCGCTAGGTATGAAGACCACTGCTACTACGAGCCATTGAACTGAGTTGACGATGTATTCCAGACCATGAGCTCACCGATGCGAAGTCATTTGCTGCTTGGGGCGCGGATATCCTCAAGTAAGTTTTAAGTGCTCGGACTCAGTGACGATTCTGACAAGATCAAAGATATGACAACTGCTATCCCATTGACCCGACGGTCATGGTCGACTACGTCTCTGAGGAGGCCATCTCCCCGGACCGTTTCGTGACGATGGCTGAGGCGATGAACACCACCGACAGAGACATGGTCTACCAGGGTTGCCAATGGGGCACAGGAACCGACCTGGGTGTTTGGTAAGTCGTCACTTACCCGCATTTGTCTGCTGACATTGACGGAAGCTAATCTCGCATGCAGGGTTCCCAAGATTGGAAACAGCTGGAGAATCAGCAACGACATCTACAACAGCTGGCGCAGCATCTGGCGCATTACGAACCAAGTCGTTCCCTTCTACAAGTACACCGGCCCTGGTGCCTTCCCCGACATGGACATGTTGATGTGAGTGGTCTGATGATAGTCTACCTTACATCACCGCGGAAACTAACTGTAGCACTGCAGCGTTGGCCTGAACGCCTTGTCTGTTGAAGAGGAAAGGTTTCACATGGGCATGTGGAGTATTAACAAGTCGCCCCTCACTCTGGGCGCCCCGGCCATCCCCGCCCTCGTGCCGGAGCACACCTTGTCCATCGTCGCCAACAAGGAAGTAATTGCAATCAACCAGGATCCGCTCGCCAAGCAGGCCCAGCTCGTCCGCCGCTTCACCGAGGAGGAGTGGGACGTCTGGGCCGGAGAGCTCTCTGGCGACCGCCTCGTCGTCGGCATCGCGAACTGGAAGAACGACTCCCAGGCCATCAGCTTCGACGTCGCTGACGTGCTGGGCCTGTCCTCGGCCAACGCCCGCGACGTATGGGCTGCGAGTGACGTCGGCTCCATCTTGGGGACTTACGAGACGACCCTCGTGGGCCACGAGCTCAGGCTGCTGGTGCTCTCAGACCTCTCCAGGGCGGAGCCGGTCCACAGCTCCACCGGGTATTACACGGCCACAACGAACGGTACGCTGTCCGGATCAGCGGCCGCGGTGGCTTGCGGCAGTGGTGGGTGTCTGCCCAGCGGGTCGAAGGTGGGCAACATCGGGTCAGGGGCTGCGGTCAAGTTCGAGGGCGTCGAGGCCAAGAGCGAAGGCAAGAAGTTGCTTGGCGTTGACTTCATCAACTACGATGTCGCCCTCGATACTGCCTGGGGATTTGGTGCCAACGTTCGCAACATGACCGTCTCTGTGAACGGCGGCACTGCTAAGCGATGGGCGTTCCCCATCTCTGGAGGCAACTGGTTCGACACTGGCCGCTTGCTGGTCGAGGTTGATGGGTTCAAGGGTGATAGCTCCAACACTGTGGAGTTCAAGAACGTCGGCAGCGAATGGGCTCCCGACTTGGTCGGTTTCGAAGTCTTCGAGTCCGCCTAAGCTTTTGAGCAGCGTGTTTTCTTCTTTGCACATTATCATAAAAAGCCACTCAAGACAATGGTTGTCAAAGTTAAGGTAGTTTCTAATCATATTGATCTGCCCACCGAGAGTCCTGTCTTTACCACACGGTGATATTATACAAAGGAAAACATTGGTGCATTTGAAAGTACATTAATGGGGTATACGTGTAAAACAGCATTTTAACCAGTGCATGCCACCCAGTCCTCCAGTCGTGTTCGATAGTACCATAAGGTTAGTGCGTTGAAAACGTCGGTAGTGGTCAATTACTCTTCTCAAGCGAGCGAGAACGAGGGTGGCCGGGGTTGCCAGTGAGCGAGTCCTCGTCGTCGATCTTGTAGAAAGTGCTGCCGCTGCCGGTGTCGTCGTGTCCCGATCTTCCACCAAACGAGGGAGTATTGGAGTGCTCAGGCGTCTGATCGACCCTGATTTCAACGTCGACTCTTCGGTGTATTCCGTTCGCGCTCTTCGGGATGTTGTCCAACTGTAGTTCAGCGGGAACGGCTCCGACGCTGGCTCGGTGGTAGCTCTTGAGTCCTGCGTCGTGCTCGCCGCGGTTGGCGTCGTGCTGTGTCGTGCGGTGGCCGCGAGAGTGGCCTTGGGAGTAGGAAAGCGAGTTGAATCTGAAGCCGCTGTCTTGATCCTTGGCGAGCCGGGTAATGAGAGAAGCCATAGACATCTCAATGTTAAGCTTGACCATGTAGGCGACGGGGTGGAACTGGATGAAGACGACTTGGTTGGGCAGCGACATGAGTCCGATGAGCATGCCGTCCATGGCAATAGAAAGAATCATGAGCTTAGCGTTGAAGCCGACAAGGGGCTTGTATTTGACCAGACCATGCTGGCTTAGGAGTCTTGTCTTGACGATGCGCAGGAAGTACCAGTTGAGACCGGCATCGACAATCAGGATGAGGACCTTGGAGGTGCGGTCCCAGTAGTGGTTGATAAGAACGAAACTGCGGGCATGGGGTCAATAACGTTGAAGGGTTCGTCTTGTAGTTAGGTTGACTTACGTGTCATTGACGGGCGGGGAAAGATGGGATGGAATCCAGATAATGAAGACGGCGATGTTGATTACAGTAATGAGCACTGCGGTTCCCCATTTCAACCTCATGATTGTCTTCTGGCTTTCCGCAATGACTGCGATTCGGTTGATGATGATTTGCATCAACAGTTGGACCTCGAAAACCCAACAAAAGAGGATGAAGAACAACACCGGCACCCTAGCCAACCAGAGTCAGTATGAAATTTCTCAATATATATCCTTTTTTGCAGACGTACGTTGGTCCTAAGATCCCATCTAAGAACAACCAGCCGATGACTGTGATGACGAGGTTCGCCAGAATCTCACCCCACATCATGTAGATGTATGAACTTCGAAGCGGGTTCCGGTTCCTCCTTGTCTGCTTCATGGCCTCCCATACTGTCAAGAATCCGAAGCCGATGGTGAAGCCGGCCGCCAACGAGGCGATCTGGTAATCGACCTTGGACGCCATCGTGAGCCGCCGTGAGCCGCCGTGAGCCGGATTCGTTATCGTCTAAAGCCGAGTATGTGTACGGTCGATGTTTCGAGCCCGCCAATGTCCTGCCCGGTCGTCTCGAAGCTTCGTGGATACGCCCGGTATGCGAGAAGGTAGGTCCGCAAGGCGAGACCGGTGGGATGTCGTCAAGACTTTAAACTCTAAAAGAAGGGCCCCCAGAGTCCATGTCGAGTGGGAGAGGCCACTCTTAAGGCTTCATGCTTCTCTAAACCGCAGGGGGCTGCGGATCGTCCTCGCCCAGTTTCCACGTCCCACTCTTCTCCGGAGTATTTACTGCATGAGTCTTTCTGGCTACACCTCAGTGTGAGTCTGTGGCAATGACATGGCAAGCTTTTGTTTTGGGTACGCTGGAGAAGCAGTCCAAACGGCCCCGGGCAGCCTGGGCCGCGGGAGCAAAACCCTTAGCCGACGCTGGAGTGCCTCGGTGGACTAGCTAGACCCAGATGGAACCCACATGGTGACAATTGGTAGTGTCATCCTTAGCCCGACGCCACAGCGCCGTAACGTCGGAGGAGCCCTTCACTACGACGCCGTAGTGGCAGAGAGGAAAGGCTTGCGTACCATTATGGACAGGGTGGTGGAGGGATATGAGACGACAGGACCTGCAATCGACACGCCCTTCCTTGAAATCTCGCCGTTCCTGCGTGCATAGCACGTATTCTGGCGGGCAGAAAAACCAATTAAGGTAGAGGCCGATGGAAGTCCTCGGCCGCCAAGGGTTAGCCTGAGGACGGTACTAATACAGCTTCAGAAACCTGCAGATGTCACAGCCATTGGCCCGAAGACAAAGGATCAACAGGCACGGCAGCCATGTCTCGTCTTT